GTCTTTTGAATGCCTGCATCACCTTGGGCCTGACCTCTACAAACTGGTTTACACAGTCACCCAGGGCTCCCCCTTTTGTCTCTCCAAAGACACTCTTGGCCACAGCCACATGATGCTTCTCCTTACTCTCTTCTCAGGAGAGTGGGGCGCTGGGTGAAGAGAACTGGATTTGGGTTATTTACTCCTTGAGACCTTTGAGGCTCTAGAGAAGCTGAAGCATCTGTTCCCAAACTTTTCAAGAGGGAACGTGAACAATGCCGGCTCCATGCTGGGCTGCGCGGGTTATTTGAGTTTACTCACAAGGCGCTTAACCAAGCGGCTGGTGTGGAGGAAGAGCTCAGCCCAGGAGCTGTGATTAGCCATGGTTCGCCTGGCAGGCCCTTGAAAGATGCCCGCTGGCACTCCTGTGGCACATGAAGGTAAGCTGAGTAGTGACTCAACCTGCTTCAAGGCCAAAACTTGCCGTGGCAAGATGCCTTCTTCAAGTGCCCTTAGGGATGACAACACCATCTTTAATGCCCAGCAAGGCTCTCCTCCAACAGCTTCTCATCACAGCCTCCACAACTTCCTCCCTGGACTGCTACAATCACACATGGCTTCTGATTCTGTGTGCAGTTAACTAAGGCACTCCAGGGTCTTGGTGGCTCAGGATCACCAGTCACACCTGATCTATGTGCAGACCCTGCCTCCCAGGGTGGTGGGCATCCCCTTCTCCACCCCAGCAGGGATCCAGGAGAGGCGACACAAGGCAGTGGACACAGCATGGACTCTGGAGTCAAAGGGCTTGCGGTCAGCTTTGCTTTGATGTGTGAAAGCTCTTTGAGCAGGGACAGCAATTTAATCTCCCTCAGGCTCAGTTTATTTAACTTTCAAATGTACAAAGCTTCTAGTCAGTGCCGGAACAGAAGAAGCACTTGATAAAGAATAGTTACCTTCCCTTTGCTTTGCAAATATAACTTACGGGCCTGCCTCCCTCCCTCTCTATGCAGATATCCAATGCAGGACCTCAAACTTAACAAGCCTCACAAGCTCCGGAGCTTGCCATGACCTCCCCTTGAAGTCCTCTCTGGCTCACCAGTGCCACTGCACCCACCCCAGCCACCCTAGGGGTCATCCTCCACCCTCCTCTCCCCTGGTGACTTGGCCTTCAACATCTACCCTAATGAGATGACTTCTACCTCCTCTACTGCTCCACCTAGGCCTGAGCCCAGGGCATCTCCCACCTGGAGTACTGGAATTATCTCCTGAATGGTGTCCTCATGTCCTTCTGCCCTAACAAGGCGGCCAGGACCACCCATTATAAACACAGTGGGTTGTCTTGCCTCTGCTGGACCCCCTAGGTGCCTGACAGGAGAGTCAGCATCCCCTCTGGATCCAGGTTCTTGTGATGTGACTTTGTCAACCCCAGCCATCTCCTGGGCTCCTTCTGCTATGTTTGGACATCTGCCCCATCCCTCTAACACACCAACTCACAGCAAAGTTGATGTTCCTGTCCTAAGGCCTCAGACACTTCTCCCTGTCCCCTGGCACAGCAGGGTTACTGCTTCTCTAAACTTCATTGCTTAAATGTCACCCTTCTTTTGGGATCTTGCATTAATACCTTATTTGAATATTTAAACAATATAAACCACATACACACACACACACACACACACACAGGCATCCATTCATTTATTACCATCTAAGATTTATGCATATTATTTATTTTCTGTCTTCCTCCACCCAAATTTAAATTCTCAGCAGTAGGGCTTGGGTTTTTTTTTTTTTTTTTTTGCAACATTCCCAACTCAACTTTCAGAAAACTAACCAACCACTAGAGGAGCTCGGGAAATACAACTGAGTGGGTGACTCTGGATTCTAGCCACTAGTGATATTTCTGGTTCTGTTACTTTGGGTATGAAGAACCCCCAGTGGCTGCACAGGCTGGCGAGGGGTACAGACCACTGGTGTGGAAGGTAAGCATTTGCCACTGAGGTGAACTCAGGCCCATGGTGCACATGGATGCCTCCAAGAGCCACTGGGGGGCTCCCTGCAGCAGGTGGTGAGGACGAGTCTGTGTCCTTAATAACAGGCTTCTTAGTAGAAGCTGACGTGGCGTGGTGCAGCTAGGTTTTGGGGTTTCCACAGCACTAGGGAGGGACCAAGCCTGTGTATGACCTGTACACAAGTGCCACGGCAGCCCCAGACAATGTACCAGAGACAAATGACCAATGGCAAATGGCACCACTGTCAATCAAAATGTTCACAATAAAAGATGTCAAGTAGTAGTGCCTTCATGAGAGCGGCATTCTCTCTCTTGGGCCAGAACATTATGCGTCTGTCCTAAAAGGCTTCTCCCTGTTCTATGACCTGGCTTCTAATAGATATCATTAAGGAAAAATAAGTCCACTAAAAAGAAAATACCGAAGTCCTGACACATGGAGCAGGGGGAAGGGCTTTCCTATTTTCTCTTTACCTCTGCATTTTCTTACGATCACTAGGATGGGCACGGGAGGACCACAGTAGACGTTCTCTACTCCTCGGCAGGTGTTTATGATGTAACACTATCTGCCCCATCTGGGAGTTCCCTGAAGGCTGGTGCCACATTTACACAGTTCGAGGGCCTGATAAATGCTAGAAATGGACAAATCAAAGAATGAACAGATAGAAGACAGTCCAATAACTCAGCTCTGGTATTCAAAGTTCCCCTGGTCCTGTCCTGACCTTGGTCCACGTACTCTGTTGAGCCCCAGGAACCGCCTGGAACCTCAGAGTCCTCCAAATCTGCAGCCCCAGGGGCAGCAAGAGTCCGAATGGTTTCCTTCCCTTCTGCAGGTGATGCCGAGTGATTAGAACCATGATTATTCTTGCTGTTGCTGTTGCCCACACAATCCTGCTAGCACGACAGCCAGTTCTGGCTGCAACAGAATAAAAGAGATTTCCCGGCCAGAGCACTGCAACTTCTGACCACTTGTCCTACTGATTTTGCTGAGTTGCACTTATCCAAGGGATACTCGGTGCTGTAGATGTTGGTTATGGGCTGAGTTTCCAGGGAAGCAGATTGAGACAGAAATCAGCACATGAACATTTAATCAGGGAGAACTCTAGGGAACAGCAGGTCTGAATGAGCAGGACTGGACTGAGGAGACTTCAGACTGTGAGGCAGTCTCCAGGGATATAGCAACTGATCAGGTAGGATCCTGTGGCTCCTCAGTCAATGCATGACATGGTGCATCCCGGCAGGGGGCATGATTCCAGGCACAGTCACTCTCTTCATCAGAGCCCATCCCCAAAGAGGGCTGATGCCAGAGAGAAATCCCAGGTGCTGGAGAAGTGAGTCCTCTCTTCTCAAAGGGGAACTTAGGCATTTATAGCTCTTTCCCAACAAAACAGTGCACAATTACCACACCCTGTGGTGCGTCCCATCCGACTGCTCTGCCCCTCTCCAGGAGAGGTGACAACTCTCACTGTCCCTTCATCACTCCTCATTTCATGATTTAGGTACACGGCCTGACACCCAGCAGGAATGCAATAAACGTTGTTGAATATATGCATCACTGAACACTGAACATCAGCATAAAAACATGGATAAAATACAGTGCAATTAAAGAAAAACTGTCCCCAATGAGTTCTGTGTGATCAGAAAGAGAAACAGCAGAAGCAACAGAGAGAAGGCAAGGCACACATATTTCTGATCTCAATTCTGGGCAAAACCCTGCGTCCCTCCAAACTTCAGGGGCTTGACTTAGGAAATAAAAGGGTAGGTCCCACCCAGCATTCTGTGCAGAAGAGATTAGACAGGGGAGACTCACTGGCTTCCCAGTTTTGTTAAAGGATGTCTCCCTAATGCCATTATTGACCCAGATAAGAAATGTTAATTTTGATCCTGATAAGGGATAGAGGGGGGGGGCATCTCAACCCTGTGATTTGCTGAACACTTTCCTCAATTAGCCCAGAGCCATGATCCTCCCAGAAGGAAGCGGACAGTGACCACTAGGCAAGGAATTTACCCTGCCCATGAATGGAAACAGAAACCAACAGGGTTTATGGAAATGATTTGTTGAAAATCAGTAAGGAGGATTTCACCCTCTTAGAATAAAGAAGTAAGAGAAGACACAGAGAGATTTTAGGCAGAGGGTAGTGTGCAATTTGACAAAGAAAAAGATAAGAAATATATAACGATCTCACTAACAAACTGCTCTCTCATTGCATTTGCCCAATATAGAGACGAACCTCAAAAACACAACACGGAGGAGAGGGGTATTAAAACAGCCCTAAACTCATGCTAACCTGTCACTTCTCTCATAGGCCCCACCAGAGTCAAATATAACTACTGAGTTTAAAATTGTCCATCAGAAGGGGTCCTATACCTTGAGATAGTGACAAAGGCAACAATAAGAGCTAAGAAGAAGATTATTGGACGAGAAGAGAGGACTTTGAAAACCAAACAAACGTACCTCAAAATAATAAGCCATGATGCTAAGGAAAGCAAAAGCCAGAGAACATTTCAAACACTCTATAATCAATACCTGTTTCTACTACCTCAAAAGCTTTCTTGGCAATCAAAGAATTCTTTGATAAAAAGAGAAAACTAATAATGCATGTTTCTGCACAAGTATGTCCACACTCAATTACTGCATACAAAATACACACATTTGATATTTAATGGTTACAAAGTATCCCAAATTGGTTTCTTCCTATGAACACAGATCTTGTTGCTCAGTGGATAGAGCACTTGCCTAACATGTAAGGCACTGGGTTCAATTCTCTGCACCACAAGTAAATAAATAAAATAAAGAAAGAAATGGAAATTCCAGTTTTACTCTAGCATGTATCAAATTGAAGTAGAATTGTAACATAACTGTATTTGTAATTTCTTATTGACTTGAATAGCACAACCTTACCGGAGTTAAACTCATCTCCTTAAAAAAATATAATCACCATGGTTGACATGTCCACACCTACAAGGATACCAAAAAGAAATGAGCCACAAATACTAGAAAGAAATGAGCCACAATTACCTTTGAACTTGTGGAACACAGCCCAGAGCTCTGCGATGTCAGTTGCAAAGGTGATATCTGTGTCGAGGACAATGACTCTCTCCAGGTTGGCAGGAAGAGTTTTGGTCAGGACGAGCTTCATCAGGCCATAAATCCCAGAGTAATGTTTGTTGGGGATCCAAGAAACTTCAGACTGGACAGGATAAGGCACAAAGGGAGTTGGAGAAGGGGAAAAAAGTCACTATATTAATTCTTTGCTTAAAACATTACAAATGGTGCCTGAGACACATAAAGCACTGAGTTTAGCTCCCCTCTCCTAGAGGACCCGTGCTCCCTTGAGGGGGCTCTCCTTTGTTTCTCTTCTAATCAACTTTGCTACCACTTTACTATGCTAAGAGAACAATGCAACCAGTGCTAACAAAATCTTTGATTATAAGAACATGATAAAAGAAAGGAACTTGACTTATTTTCCCCCCAGTACTGAGGATGGAACCCAGGGGTGCTCTACCATTGAGCCACATCCCTAGCCCTTTTTAATTTTTATTTTGGGACAGAATCTCTTTAAACTGCCTAGGCTGGTCTTAAAGTTATCCTTCTGCCAGCCTCCAGAACAGCTGGGATTCGAGGTATGTGACACCAGGCCAGAAGTGGGGTTGGGGGGTATTCAATGCAAATTTGTTGAAAAAGTGAATAAATATCTACTTAGAGTTCTGTTCATGTAATTTACATTCGGCACCAGTTTCAGGAAAGAAATCTGAATCTAGTGAGAGGAAAAGCAATAGTTATGAAATAATTATTACATAAAAATCCCATGCTGAAGTTTTTTAAAATATAATTTTGGCTATTCGAGAAATTATATAGGCTCATTGGAGAAAAGAAAGACAGGCAAAAAGAAAACAAAAAGGAACAAAAACCGAATCATACTTCTGCAACCAGTACCAAATTGTTCCAAGGCAGGTGTGTGTGTGTGTGTGTGTGTGTGTGTGTTTTAAGTCATATTTCAAACCTGCGTTATAAACATCACTACTTACTGGCATTTTAAAGCTTATGCTTAGCTATATTTTTTAAGCTGTAATTGAATAGGTTAGTACTGGTGCCTTCTTGATGTTCTCAAATAAATGCCCACGGAGGGCTGGGGCATCATCTATGGACAGTCCTCACCTAACAGCAACAAAGCTTCCATACACAGGGACAGCAATGAACAGCCCAGGGGGTGCAATTCTGCAGCCTTCATAGGACACGGGAACCATCCGTACCCCACAGGTGAACAGAGTCATCAGCCAGGCACACACACCTCTTGGTGCCACTTGGTATTCAAAGCTACACTTTGTGATTACAGCTTTCCTATGTGCAGGGTCAGTTGTGAAGGTCATTATGGACAGGGGTGCCATCCCAGCTGTGAAGGGGAGTTTCCACTGGAGTTAGTTAGAGAGCACTCTCAAGAGGTAACTTGTGATAAAACCCCTTTATTGGGAAATGGGATCATCTTTAGTATCCTACAAAATACTCTTTTGTCCTTTAACTCCATTTAAAGGACACTGTTCTTTAAGAAAAAAGAATAAAAAATCAAATTTTAAAATGAAAAACCAAAGTTCTATTCTCAAAGATGTTTGTTACCATGCTATAAAGTAAAGAAATAGCAACCATCCAAATATCCCCAAATTGAGCAGTTAACTAAAACATGATACACTTTTGATTGATAGCATACTATCCAGCGGCTTGAAACAATGTAGATTAAGATATAACGAAATGAAATTGGCTTTGATGGTTAAGAACAAACAAAAAAAAAGCAAGCTTTAAAACAACTTTTGCTTAAAACCCACTATGAGTTCTCAAATGGCATGGAAATACATCCTCTGAAATTTATGCAGAGAAAGAAGAAATGGAAACAAGACATCAAATTCTTCAGAGGGATCATTTGGGGGCATTTTTCTGTGTCTATATACCTACATGCCTACATTATATGCTTGATGAAAAACAAAAGGGGGTGAAGAGATTTAAGCTCCTGGCATGGGAAAGACTCTCAGCAGCCTAGGCTCCCCCAATGCTGACTGGGCCCCTCATTCAAGTACAATGACATCTCTTGAATGGCTTCCTACTGAAGGTGGTGCCTGGTGTGAAGAACACTTGGGTTCTAGAGCCAGGTGCACCTGGACTTGGACTCCAGTACCAACAATCACCATGTGTCCTTGGACAAGTCTGCTTAGTCTCGGCTGCCATTGGTAAAAGGCAGATCCTGTAAGAGTGTACTTCTTCACATCTGTGAGGGTGTAAATAGATAGCACACCCAAACTGGGAAGTCTAAGGACAATTTAATAATAGACGGAATCTGGGGCTGGGATTGTGGCTCAGTTGTAGAGCGCCCACCTACCATGTGTGAAGCACTGGGTTCGATCCTCAGCACCATAGAAAAATAAATAAATACAATAAAAGCACTGTGTCCATCTACAACTAAATAATAATAATAATAATAATAATAATAATAATAATAAAGGACTCTTTACTGCAGTGCATACAGAATTAGAGACAGAACCGATACTTGGGAAGAGAGGTGCCACCCCAGCAGACAAGGCCAAGACAGCAGTTGGTGGAATCCAGAAAGGGCAGCCCCATGAGCAAGGCCACCTGCAGGTGCAGCAGCCTTCACTAGAGGCCTCTCTGTGGCAGCCCACAGGACAAGAACTGGGACACCTGTCTCACCCTCACTCTCCCCAGGTCCCCCATCTCCTAGTAGGTGCCTCTCTGCCAATCCAGATGGGGACTAGAAGGGAAGGGGTGCCGCCCTTCTGTGTCAGTCTCAGTGGGCCCAAAGAGGGCAGCGGAGGCCTAGGGAGGACCTGGATGGACAAACCTGTCATAACCAGCAGTCCTGCTGCTAATGCAGGTACAGAAACTAAACAGCAAGGTCAAGAACGAAGCACAGGGAGGGACTTACATATTAACAGGCACAAAATCCACACCTGAAATCAATCAATGGCATAGGAGGCTGAGCCATGTGTCCACCTCCCGCAGCAGGCGAGCCACAAGCTATAGTTAGTATCTGCCAGGAGGTGGTTGTGCTCTTTCCCCAAAACCACATTACCCTTCTTTGGGAGTTGGCTTCCTGACTAGCCATCACCTTAAGATCTGAGAACTTGGTGAGCAATTCCCTCCAGTGTGCTTTATAAAACTCTTCCTCATGAAAGCCCTGGCCTGTGGAACGCAGCTCGTTTCCTTCCCTCCTCTGGGAATCTGCCTGAACTGAAGCCTGGCAATCAGTGGTCTACGCTGCAGAGCTGTGCTATTTAATCAGACCTTTGATTAACTTATTCATCTATTTTGGTTGCCATCAAAGCAGGAGAGCTGGGTGCACACTGAACACCACCGTGCTGGGTTAAGCCATCTAATTAGATGGCCCTGACTCTCAGCTTTATTTTTAACACACATGTGAGACACTCAGATGCATCACCAAACAGTAAGACTACAGGAATAAATTAATCTCAACATGAGCCCAGGCCCGAATGTCGCCCCAAGTCCCCAACTTAATACATAATCAATTAAGTCCAAGTGTTCAATTAGAGGTAAAGGAAGCATTTGAATGAGTTTGTACTCAGAAAGAAAGCCCCAGGAAAGGCAAGAAAAGTAAAGAATCTTTGGGGTGAGGGAAAACTTCTGATAGAAAGCAGCACATCAATAATAGATTACTCATCCTCTTAAGTAGCACGGCTTCTACCATGCTCCTCCCCCACCTCCTCCACATGCTGCTCTTCCTTCAAGTCTCAATGCGGCAGCCACCATCTTCCAGTCACCAAGTCCCTGCTGTCTCAGGCTGCACTGACCTCTCCCTCCCCTGCACACAGCCTGCTCTCACGCTGGGTTTAATTTCCCATGTCTCTCTCTTGCATTTGACTGGAACTCCTTGAGAATTTCATTCATGACCCTGGCAAATATCCAACACAATAATTACCCAAGAACAGTTTGATGAATATGCATAATCACAGGGTCCACCAGGCCTGGGTTCAAATCCTACCTTTGGCACTATCCTCAACTAGGAGCGGAAGTGTCCACACATGCAGAAGTCCAGGTTCAGTACACACAGCAGAACAGCTTATTTGTTGAGCCCCAAAGCCTGGCCTTTGGAAGTGGTTCCACTTCTAATAAGTTGTGTGACCTCAGGAAAGCCACATGACCTCTAAGAGCCTTACATTTTCTCATGGCAAAATGGGGACTTTTGATATTGACTTTCCAACACAGCTGGGGGGCTGCAAAGCATCCAGTTTATGCGGGCACTCAGCCTCCACAAAGCCACTTCTATTCCCCAGTGTGTGGCTGTCGGTGCAATTAGGGCTCAGTGATCCAGGTTATGAGCTTGATAAAAGCAAAAAAACTACACTATGGAAGACAGGAAAGGGGAAACAGCACGGAGACAGTCTGTCAGGGGGAGTACCTGGCTCATCACCCTTTCCTATGTTTCTATATAAAACGTTAACAAAGTCACAAACCGAAATCTGCTGGAAAATACAAAACCCCTCAAGTGGATCTTCAAGTCAGACAGCACATCCTTGGTTTCAGGAGGAAAGTGGGTGGGAATGGTCACCCAAGTAACCTTTCTGGGCAGTAGTACCTTGGTGCAATCACATTGTGTTCGATTTTCCTCCTACCTGGTGACAAGTTCTAATTCAACCAGAGGTCGGTGGAAAGAAGAGCATCCTGATCAGAGGAAAGGTGGGAAACCTGGCGAGCCCCATGCTAGTCCACCCAAGAGCATCCCTTGGGGATGGTGGAACAGCCTCCTGTCACGTTCTCCATCATTATAAATATGCCCAAGGGTTTGTGTAATTAAACAGATAAAAAAATGAAAGTTAGGGTCATTTTAATGGATAGACTATTATCTTTGCAATGGCTCTTAATAATTCTAAGCAGCATGCTTGAAGCTTTAATTAGGAAAAATGCAATTGTGCTCAAGATCCCCGCCTACTCCACCTACGTGAAGGTACTCATCCAGGGTGTGAACGTCATGAGCAGCCCAGGTTGGTAGACTTTTGTGTAAAGTGGGGGTCAGGGGGCTCTCAATGGGAAACTCCCCTTCCTGAATGAAGCTAACGGTCATTCCGAGTGCCTCAGGTAGAGTTCCTACGAAGCACTGCAAGTGATTTCAGGGTAGATATGAGGATAGGTGATCCCCAGAAAAGTGACTTAGAAGACCTGACCAGA